ACTTACTTACTTACTTACTTACTTACTTACTTACTTACTTACTTACTCACTTACTTACTTATTTATTTATTTATTTATTTATTTATTTATTTATTTATTTATTGATGTAGGATCTAAAAATGTAAAAATTCAATTAAGCTAGATCTTTCTTTTTCTCTCCACAGCTTCTCTGAAAGCAGTTCGGAATGAATTCAACAAAAAGGCGTTACAGGCTTTGAACAAGTATGTCACAGCATCGTAAAGTCCCCTGTCTGAGATTCTATGTTTTTCTTTACTCATACACAAAAATGATCCTGTCATGAGTTCTGGATTTTTGGTTTTGTGGACTTTTCCAGTCTGAGTTATTTCTCCAGTTTTCTTCCTTGTCGGCTCCTGCTTCCCCTTTTCCTCGCCATTTTCACCATAAGCCTCGTTGGTATTTTTTGAACCTCAGGTCATTAACGACTCTCTTTAGCTGTGCTACCTGTTTTCAGTTGCTTTCATTTACTAATCACCCTACTCTGTATATAAGCTCTCCAGGTCCTTTCATTCTTTGTCAGATCCTCTGTCTGTTTCCCGTCTTCAGTCTATCGGTTTACAATGGTTTAAACCTATTCACATCACTGTTTATCCCGTATTTGTCTTGGCCTCCTTGTTGTCAGCTTCCTTTTTATTTTCTCCTTGTTTGTCTTTGTTTTTTGTTACTGTTAGGATTTTTTATTTTTTTACTAGTTTAGTTCAGTTTTTGATAAGCCATAAGCTGTCCCTTAGTCCCTTGTGTCCCATGTCTGCACTTTGAGTCCTCCAAGCATTCCTGTGAAACATACATAGCCTACATGCAAATGTATGTATGTGTCACGGGACACATGCATACATGTGCACCGGAACTTCAGCAAGTTGGTCAACATGTGCCACAGATAAAAAAAACGCTCAGTGTGGTGGTTTAGTTTTTGTACGGCCTCTGATTTAAGTCACTGCTGGCAAGTTAGCATTCTGGTATTAAGATTTAGCTCAAAGAGCCACGCTCGTTAATCGACTAACACAAATGTTTTTTTTAATTAATTAACATTTTTATGAACTTTTACAGATGTTATAGTTTAGGATTTTTGTAGAACTTAGAAAAGGTTAAAGAAAACAAAGGCAGCTCGCAGTATGATGCAGACTAAAGGCTAGCTTCTAAGCTAGCAGACATCTGACAACAAATGGGAAGCAAATCTAGATCTAGGGGTGTTCATGCTATCACGGACAGAAGTGTAAAATCACAATATCATGATGGATCAACGTCTGGAAATTGTGAGACCAGGAAAGATTGATTTGGAGAGATAAATGTGGTCACACAGATGTAAATGTCTGTTTTTCAGAGAATCCAGCGATGAACCGAATAATTATGCAGGTGAATGACAGCAGAAAATGAGCTTTTAACACTGTGTTCACAGGACTGAATGTTTTTTATTGAATATCATAATATAATACTAACTGAATGTGATTAACCCTGTAGTAGTACACATTTGACAGGATCAAATATTCACACATTGCTTAGCTGTTAGTCATCTAACACAACTCTTTTTTAAGATGATAGAGATGCCATTCATCTAACCATTTTCTGAACCGCTTATTCCCAAATGGGGTCCTGAGGGGACTGGAGCCGATCCCAGTATTCCGTGGTTGAGAGGCAGGGTACACCCTGGACTGTCCACCAGTCCATCACAGGGAAACACAAGGACAACCAACCATGCACACTCACTCCTAAGGGCAATTCGGAATGTCCAATCAACCTAACATTCAGGTTTTTGGACGGTGGGAGGAAGCCAAAGAACTTGGAGAGAACCCACACAGACACAGGGAGAACATGCAAACTCCACACAGAAAGGTCCTGGTTCCCCCCGGGGACCCGAACCCAGAACCCCGAACCCAGAAGCAATGGTGCTAACCACCACACCACAACCCTAACCATAACCCTAACCCTGCCGCTCGTGCGGTAGAGATGCCCGAGTAAAAAACCAAGAAAGAATGGCAAAGCAAAGAACCCCCCCCCCCACACACACACATACAGAAATAGTGTTCAATTAGAAAATAACACTAAAAGTGAACAGTTCCTGTCTCTGCGGCGCTGGATCTGTCAGTGTTCTGTCATTTTCACTCCCTCGTTCTCATACACTAGCGTCCTGGCAGGCTGCTCCTAATGAAAGCACTGAAGCGGCTGCAGGGAGCAAACTGCTATCTGCCATCAATCTCACAAGGTTCTCTGGGTACATTATGCTTCTGTCTAAGAACACCACAGATGCATCAGATACGACCGGAAAACTCGTAAATAATGTGTTCACGATGATGAAAATGAGTGAGAAAGTAAGAGCTACTAACGTAAGAACTTAAAATTATGTTTTGATATCACCTTATTGGATCAGCAAAGGGTGGAAAAAAGGATTTTTCGGAGTGTACTCAAAATATCTTCCTCTTGTCTGGATTATTTAATTATCAATCTGCCAGAGGCAATGCTTTAGCTTCATCAGTATCCGATTTATGTCACATTCGAACAATTTAGAAAGTCTCAGTCCCTCATTTGCGGTCTATTTTTGACAACATGTTTTTATCTGTCATTCCTCCACAGAGCCCGTTCATTAGACTCCTATGATGCTCAGATTTCTATGTACCTCGCTTTGCAGTTGGCCATTGTACGCCAGGTATGAGCTAACAAAATAAGAAAGACTTTTTAAGGTTCTCCGTTAGCTTTTTCCTGGTTTTAAACAGAAAAAAAATGGCTTTTTGAATCTCTCAGGTGTCAGCAGCCATGGAACCTCTGCAGGCGGCTTTATCTCTCCGCGGGGATGACTTGCACTCCCTCCACCTGCTGACCCTTCTGCTGAGTGCCCAGAAGCATCACCGTCATGCCCTGGACACCCTGGGCCTGGCCCTCAGCCAGCACCCCGACAACTTCAAGTAAAAACCCACTACACCATCCTACTCACGCATGAAAGAGAAAATGTTGGCGGAAGTGTTGGTGAATTGAAGACGATAGAATCGATTTTTTGTGCTTATGAAACTTCTTTAGGATACTTTTATAAGTCAGATTGTCGGTAAAGAAGAGCAACTCCAGCGAGTCGTGCAGGGAGGACTTCTCCTCACGCCGGCCCTCTCAGTAGGGATAGGGTGTCTCAGCTCCACTGTTGGAGGCCAACCACACAAACACACTCACACACTCGAAGCCTTATTTAGATGTGCCGGAGCAGAAGCCCGCATTGCGGTACCTATGCCCCTCATACACCCTTACCCTTTTAACACTGCAGCTCTGACCCCAGTTTAGTGCTGCTTTTTTGAAAGAACGGGCATGTCCAAGCACACAAACCCCACCTTAATACAATACAAACCAAGTTGACACATAGTGAAACTAAATAAAGCAAAGCACTGAAGTTTACCCCCTAATAAATTTTGACAAGTCAGGAATTAAGGGACTTGAGAGACCACATCACAGGTCTTGAACCTAGTATTCAAACATACGGGTACCTGCTTTAATTCTGCACAAAACAGCATGCTTTACCAGTATAAAATAACTTTTTAGATCAAATGAGAAAACAAAGCAAGGACTAAACAGACAGACAGAGGTAAGCAATCAGAATTTCTATAAAAATCCAGTTCATACTGTTGTAGCATTTTGGCACAGAAAGGGTTCCAACCTCTCATGTGCAACCAAATACCGGAATTATTCACATTTGCCATGAAAAAAGGGTTGTTGTATCAGACATTGATGACATTACCTGTCAAGGACAATTATTTCCCACTGAACAGCGATAATACAGAAGCATGTTGCATCATCCTTCTGATGTGTACTCTCAATATTTCAAAGCCCAGTGTAACATTTCGTAATGCAGCCATTTGGGGTCACTGTTGGCCTCCACGGCCCCACTGCAAACAGATGGGTTGCCTTCATACATCAGTAGGGAAAGCAAATGCAGAAAAACAAGATAAAACTGATTAAATAACAAAGGACACGCAGTAGGAGCCTGACAGGAGGAAGAAAACTCAAGGATAGAGTGGGTGGATGCTTTTATAACTACACAAGCTTTACCGATCAGCGCTGTATCTACAGTTGGAAGACGAAATCTGCTCTCTGTCTGTCTAGATGCACAGCCGCACACTAAGAAACGCACACACCTCCTCCGTGGAGACACTTGACTGCTTTGACCCATTTAAGAGCTCTTTTCCGGGCTCAGCCAATCACATTGCTCTCTGTGCCAGGAATCCCCATCGCCCCGGTAACCATGAGGTCATATGGGTAGAGCAGGCAGCATCAGTTGTTTTTTTTCTAAACAGTTGTTATGGATCGGCTGAGAGACATGGAGTAACACAGCAAATGAAGAGAGACGCCCATCTCTGTTTTGGTAGTTTGTTCTGTTTTTGTTTTTGTTTTACTGGAGACAGATTCAGACTTGTTAGCCTGTAAGAGTTACAATAGAGCCATTGTTGCACAAGTTTAAGCCATTTGTCATGACCCAAAAGATCTAGAAACATAATGAATACCTTTCCATTGGACGAGAGGGCGGGGCACAACCTGGACAGGTCACCAGTCCATCACAGGGACACACAAAGACAAACAACCACACACTACAACAACAACAACAACAACAACAACCACTCGATCCTATGGGCAATTAAGAGTCATTATTCAACCTAACATACATGTTTTTTCTATTGTGGGAGGAAGATAAAGAACCTGGAGAAAACCCACACATTCAAGAGGGTAACATGCAGGTTTCAAACCAGGATCCCATCGGTGCTAGCCACCACACCATAGAAAGCTTAAAATGCTACATAAAAACCACACAAAAAGATTTAACAATGTGTGGTTTTTGTGCATTTTGGAAATAAAATTATGTTTGGCTTGTTGTTAGCAACTATCTATTAAATCTATAAAGCATTTCATTGGTAAATTTACCATTTTGCTAGCTGAAAACCAGAAGAACCAGAAGAAAATTAGCCATAGTTGTCATGCATTAAAACCAATATAACAAATAGAGACTCCTGCATTGTAAAGAGCCAAAGGTTTGCTACAAATTTGCTGTTTTTGCACTAAAAGCAGTTTAATGAACAAAATGTGAACACAGTGGAACATTGTTTATCCAAAAATATTCACCAATTTGAAAAATCAGAGCAGAAGGAAGATTTTAAAAACCCAACTCCATTAAAATGGCAAGTCGTAGCCACAGTTAGCTTTAAATGGATATGTGTAAAACCAGGGTCAGTCTTTTTTATTTTTATTTTTTTATTCTTGAGCATTGTTTTGCCATTGCACAACACACACAGTGTCATTCAATTCTCAGATCTATATACTCTGCAGCTAGTGTCTTAGAAAATCTCACTATTTGTGCCAGCTTATAAAAAAGTTACCGCCGTACCTCAAAGCAAGGCGAAATGTAACATATCTCAACTGGCTGTCTCCTAATAAAAGCATGTTTGTTTCCATGGAGATAGACAAAGATATTCCATGTCAGAAAAAAAACAGGATTATAGACATCTCTATGAACAGTACGGTATTGAAATTTGCAAAAATGTAGTTGTACTGGATTTTGACATATACCAACCAACAATATTTCATCCTATACTACATTTAATCCGACACATAAAACTCCATTTAAATGATAGACTGAGGCCAGGTTACAGATCTTGTATTACAATAAACTTGATTTGTAATTGGCTTGGTTTGGTTGTTTTTTTTAAGTGTGTGGACATAATTTGGTGCTGTATGACTGAAACGGAATTGATTTCAAAGTCATAATGAGAGACCAAGAGTAAAACAGATAGGTGTTTTCTCAGCAAGAATCTGATTGGGAGCTCACATCAGAGATCACTGTGCACAGAGCTGGGCATTCTGGAACCATCCTGTTCATGTTTGCACTCGTGTGATGGTGGGAGGATGTGAACATTTATACAAGATCGCAATCTTACACTTGCATGTTTCGCGTTATTGCACGTGTGCATGGATGTGTGTGTGATTCTCGTTAGCCACTGGCTTTCTGCACCACAGCAAACTGTCAACTCGCTGTAGCATACCGAATTTCTCCTTCCTCCTCTTCTCCCACATCCTCTACCCCCGGCTTCTTGTCTTCCTCTCTCACTCTCTCACTCTCTCTCTCTCTCTCTCTACGTCTCATTTTTCCATTGCTTCCTTCCTCTCTTTCTTTCTTGCCCTCATTTTCTTTCATTGCACACACTTTCGTTTCTTCTCCGTTTTTTTTCTTTTTTTTCTTTCTCCCTACATTTTTTATCTCCCTCCGTCTCAATTTGGGCTTTTTTCTTTGAAATTTTAATCACCTCGTAAACAGGCATGCATTTCAATGTGAAATGGGATTCTGCTACAGATTTATAGAGAGAGCTGAGGCAAGAGAAGGGGGGATGGTTGTGTTGCTGTGTTAAGGCAAGGCAAGGAAAAGCGGGGGGGGGTCAGCGATTGTGGTCTCACAGTTTGTACTAAAGAGAATGATTAATCCCAGCCTTTGATTCTTCATTCATCCGTTGGGATGTTGCAGCATGAGCAAGTTGTATCCCGGGCGCGTGCATCCGCACAAACGTGTGTTAGCCTGCTCCAGTGTGATGGGCTTCACTGTGTGAGCATGCCCGCACAGGCATCTGTGCGTTCACTATGTAGGCTACGTGTGCGCACAGACGCCGTGTGCGCTTTGTGTAGGATGCCCATTTATGCATGTTCATGTCTCATGTGCTAGCGGTGGATACACACTCTGATCTGTGGGAGTGCAAAATGAGCAATACTCTAGATGGACCTTTTTTTTTTTTTTTTTTCAAGGGAACATTATTAGCTATTTTTATGTGGAGTTTACGCTGGCACTCTCTGCTCTTAGCCGTCCACCGCTGAGCTTTTACTCTGGGCTCCACTACTCGCTGCCCACCGGCCTTAAACACAGGCCACGCAGGCTGCGAAAACGCCAGACTTTGGAATGTGCTCCAATCTTTGTGAAATCTCTGTTTTTTTTCTTTTTTTTGGATTCTTCAGTGGAAAACGGCTTTGTTCAAGCTGTGAATAACGGTTTTGAAACGATACGACTTTTTTATGTACAGTTTCTGTTGTGTCATTTTGACTCATCACACGGTAATAAACGATAAATATTCCAAAATTATTTGTCAGAAAAATGTTTTCATGTTTTTTAAAAGGCCAAATGAAGACTTCAAAATGAAAAAAGTTAGATAGCCAGCTGTGTAGTACCATGCATTTATATCAGCACATAAATGTCATTTGTAATAACTGTAATTGCAATTGTATAAACTGAATTGTAGCCCGTGACTGGGGCAGAATCCCTGTGTGGTCTGTGTGCACCCTCCAGCAAAACGATCACTGCCGCTTAGAACTCATTTATTGCATTAACCCTTTAAAGCCTCACCCCCCCCAAAAAATGTATAGAAATGTGATTGTATTTTTTTCAGTTTTAAGACTTTATTTGGCCGTTTAAGAAAAAAGAAAAACAAATGTAACAAAAATAGTTTTTGAATATTTACCATTTTGTACAGTGCAATAAGTCAAAATTATCGTTGTGTAGTCTTCTGCCCACTTCTATCAGATTGTATCTGGTTGAATACAAAAGGGTTTTTGAGCAAATTTTAATTATGCAAGTGGTCTCAGATGCATAACACTTCAGAAACTCCCTCAAATACGATGCATATGGTAATATAAGGTTTACAGGAAGCTTCATTCCTGGCATAATCTTGTCATTTTAAAACCTCTTCCAGTTAAAACATTCATTAAATCAATTCAATTGTGCCTCTTTTATGTTCATGCAAAGCACTGACAACGGCTCAGATGGATTTATTGCATCCTGGGTCCGAACTGGAAACAAATCAGTCAAGTGTTAAAACTTTAAGAATTTTACTCAGAAGTTTCAGAATCTGATAAATCTAAGTTACCTCTCCACTTCAAAAATCTATTGATCCACTACAGGATCAAAATGTTATTATCAAAAAACAGCTGTGTCAAATGTTGAATATCATCTAAAAAAAACAGTAAAAGGAATTTTAAAGCAATACTGACAGGATTTGTGTTGTATATGCAGGTAGTTGTGGATTCTCTTTCTTACGTTTAAATGGATTTTGTGTTTTACAACCAGGTTACAAAAACTAATTCAATTGTTTTCATATGGAAAACACACATCATATGTCACATATCAGGGCCCTGATGGCTTTCCGCCCTCACCATCCTTCTAAATGCTTTGTCACACAGGTAATGGGAGGCCCAGAGACACACACACACACACAGTCGCACAGACACACACTCTCTGGTGGACTCCTGCTGGCAGGCGTGTCCTTAGCTCAGCATCCCCTGGCAGCACTTGTCTTCCGCATGTCAGCGAATCCAACCTCATTCCACCCACACACCTAGACTTTTGTTTTTTTTATCTCTCCTCAAAATCCCACCGTTTTCATTTCTCACTTATCCGGGCACACATTCACACCTCTTGCCCCCCCCCTCCCACCACCACCACCACCCTTCCTCTCATCCCCTGGTCTTCCAGCAGTCCTGGAGTCTGTCACAAGGCCCTTTTCCACACCAGTTTTTCTGCCTTTTTCTCTCCGCCACTGATCCTCACCCTTTCCCCATCACTTCATCCATCTCTTCATTTTTTCCTCTTTCACTCCCCCCCCCCCCCCCCCCCCCTGACAGGAGACCACAGTATAATTGGAGGAGCCTTCGACGGCGGGTAGGGCGTCAGAAGCAATGAACTCCACAGTCTCCCCACCTTTTTCTCTTTCCCTCTTCACTTTCATAGATGAGTGATGACCACGACAGACTGGCTCCTCTGAGAGCCCCCTTCTGGCAATTACCGCGCGCACACACACACACACACACACACACACGGGTGCACAGATATGTTCTTGCGAGACTCCCACATCACTTATCCAGTTGTCTTCGACTCAAAGGGGCCAAGTAGAAAACACTCTACAGCCACTACCTCTCACAAGACGCTACACGGACACACACATGGCGACTCTTTAAGCTCGTCTTTTACGACTATCCTTTAACCCAGCTCCGTTTGTATCGATCCTCCTTAATGTGTTGTCTGCGCTTTTACTAAAAGTGTAAAGTGTAATGTCTTTGCAACCGTAACATGTGGTCCAACACGTGTGTGGTGTGTCTGGCTCCAGTTTGCTGCTGACAAAGGTCAAGCTGGAGGAGGCCATGTTTGGCCCCGCCGCGGCCCTGCAGACCTGCGAGGACATGTTGCAAAGCTGGCAAAGCCGATACGACGTGAGCCGCTCCAGGTGAGTGTGCCCGCCAATCGAATCGTATTTTTAGGTCTTAGTCGTAGTTTTCCCCGGTAATGCTCGTTGCTTATTAAAAAAAGAGAAGTATCTCTTGTCAACAATGATCATTTTTACAATAAACTGACAATCTTTCTGATGGTACATCCAGACATTACACTGTATTTGAAGCTGTAGATTTCAAAGTTTGATTTAGAATTATCCAGTCGTCAGAATTTTTAAATCAGAGGATTGCTATAGTTACCGGGTTTCAGTGACCTCTTCTCATCTTTTCATCTGAATGAATGAAGAAACAAAGTGCTAAGGCCACTCTGTAACTGGACTTGAAGTGTGGGCCACCACACAACTTTCATTCTCACTGAATTGTCCTCGTGGGACAATGTGGGTTAATGCAGAAAAGAAACAGCAAATATTGGTCATAATAGGGCTTTTCTTTCATCCTTCACATGTTAGTAACATGTGAAGGATGAAAGAAAAGCCCTATTATTATTAGAGTTGTAACTTATGGTTGAAAAAAAAAGACACTATGCGTCCATTGGGGCTTAAAATGTTTACATAGGCCAAAAAAACGTCCAGAATTCTGTCAGGTTTATCGCACAGGCAGACATCCGTTCTTGTGTGTGACAGTGAGACGGATGACAGCAGCAGTATACCGATGGCTGAGAGAACAGAGGTCAGCCCTGGAGGAAGGAAGCCCTCCATCCACCTCAACCTCCCGGACTTCCAGGACACCTCCACAGGTTTGCCTCCTTCTCCTCATCTTTTTTCTTCAGATGAGGAGAAGGATCTTCAGAGCCGCCATTGTGCGCATCGATTCCTTTAAGGTTAACGCGTTGTCCGCTCTTTTCCGGCTTCGGGTAAATACCAGCCGGTTCGTAGGTCGGGCGTTTGACCTACGCCGGATTAAAACCTTGTTTGCCCCTTCGACGGCTCAGTGTGAAGGGGGAGCAGATGGGTTGTTTAAATACCAGTTATGTGGCTTAACCCCCGCACCTGTGTCCAGGCAGGAGGACGTCGCCCCAATGTTCTCAAAGTTAACGGCCACGCCGAGCGCTCGCAAAGGGTAAACTGTACTTCAAGATCAGAATCAGAATCAGAATTAGGTTTATTGCCAAGTAGGTTTTTCACCTACAAGGAATTTGATTTGATGTTAGGTGCACAACACTTCTATGAGAACAAGAAACGACATACAATGTAGAAATAAAAATATACAAATATAGAATAAAATAAAATAAATAATAATAATAATAATAAATAATAAAATAAAATATTGAATGTCCAACGACAAACCAGAAAAAGTTGAACGTAGTATTGGGTAAATTAGTGGGGTAGAGGGGGGTGAGAGAAGAATAGGTGGGGGTCACTGGCCTCGTTGATGAGGCCAGTTGCTGCTGGATAAAAACTTTCTTTATGGCGTGAGGTTTTAGTCCTGATGGTTCTCAACCTTCTGCCAGAGGGGAGGGTTTCCAAAAAGTTTGTGACCAGGGTGAGAAGGATTTTATTTTCCCATTCTCTTGGATCAGGTTCCCTCAGCCCTCCGTCAGTTGCAGTATCTCGTCTGGAAGCGGCGCTCTCCGAGGTGTCGGACATCAGCTCCGCCCGCCGCCAGGGACCTACCTACATCTGGGCCACCCTGGAACGCATTTGGCTACAGGCTGGTATGGCAGAAACACTCATGACTTGTAATGATATTTGAAGAGAGAGAAAAAAAAAAAAGAAGCTTGGGATCCCTTGGAAAATTAGATTTGAGCATTCCCCTACTTACAAGAGGTCTTTTTTTTCACTCCCATTCGGTCTTCGGGTTCAGCATCTTTTCCTAATTCATCCCATGTGAAACCGTTTGCCTCGCGCACAAAACGGACAAAGGCCCTTCTAATGACTTTAAGCGATGAATGGGATCATTATGTTAAGACGTTTTGGTGTCAGTGGAATAATTAGATCCTATCATTTTTATCTTCCGGAGATGCAGAGCCCTGATAATGTTGATTTTATTAGCGACTTAAAAGCCGACGAGATGTAGGTGTCGGACAATAAAAGCTTTTGGTTGTCTACGTCTTTTTATTCACAGCACGTGCGTGATCATGGGGGAAAAGTGGTGATTCTTACCTGTCAATCCACAGAGTAACACCCTTTAAATGAACCATATATCCACACACTGCCTTCTTTACTACATACGACAGCCAGAGCACTCTCATTTTGGAGAAATTAACAGCCGAGTACATAAGAGTTTGGGCCAAGTTTTTTGTAACACCTCTTCAGTTTTGCACCAGGCGTTTACTTACTGTTTCCATGTGTTATCTCAGCAGAGGATAGTACATTTTGCAACTCTATGTAACCAGTAATGTTTACTCTACTTCCTCCTCACGATTGCAAATGTGGACGGACACTCCTGGCCATCATATTTTTTTGCTTTCAAGGAGCCAGGCTTTCATGTAACCTTTCAAAGTGGTCTCGAACCGTAATTCTCCACAGAAAGTATTTTCCTTTTGAAATTTGCTGCCTTTTCGTGCATTTTCAGTGCGAGACCTTGCGCCTGACCATTCTAGAATAACTTGTTTTTGGCTTGTTCAGCCACTTAACACAGAGGAATTAGATATATATGCATGGAAGTGGAAATACCCCAGAAACTTATTAATGTCGTGTACACATACAGAATATTTAGCAAAGAACTAGTGATAAAAAAAATGGACTCTTGCTCTCAGTATATTTCACTGCTTGGGCTCATTCAGTCACATGATACAAACATCATCAGCACACATTCTTTGCAATTGAGTTGGCAGGGTAAAGTCTGCACATGTTGGCTCTTACTGATTCAGACCTTTGTGTTCTCACTTTCAGCCTTCCGGGATCATTTTGAGTGAATCTTTTTTGGCTGCGCCGCACTTGTGAAATGGCTGTGATTAGCACGCCGTCATGCTAACACTTGCTAATTGGCTCTGTGCTCAGAGAATCGCCGATTGCATTGATCTCCAGGCACTCGGTCATAACTCTTACGGAGCCTATGATCGGCCACCTGACAAAGAACGATATTGTTTGCACAGGAGAGACAATTTATCTGCATGTTTCAATTGATTCGTGCCCCCGAGATAAGTGTATTTGCAAAGAGCAAGCCAAAGCACACGAGCCTTTCTCCCTGAAGCTTGGCTCCCATTAATAAGACATGAGCTCCTCTTTGTGAATCATGTTTTCAGGGGAGCTCATGTCTTATTAAGAACAACCAAGCTGGCATCAGTGTGCGCTGTAGCACCGTGCCGTTTGCTGTGCTCACTTTGAGCATAGACGGCTCTTTTAAGCTCACAAATTTACCAAAATGTGGGAACAAAATAACTATCTTACATTCTCTCACTAGCTCCACGGAAACCCTAAACCCAAGTACCAAAATAATTGCAAATTTGGACAACTGCTGTATTCTGAAGGCAGCCTGTGTATTTTGTAATAGCTTAAAATGCTAAATGCCAGCTAATTGCTAGCATTAAGGGAAGCACTGCTACAGTAAGCGTTAGCCATAATCTTATACAGCCACAATCTACCTGATTGCTTATTTTTTTAGTTTGGAAGTAAGTCATGAAGACCACCTCAAGGACAATGTCACAATACTAATCTATAGCCTCTGTATTAGGTTGAGCTCAAGGCCATTTGGTGTGAAATTTGTCATTTGCACCAGTCTGAAAGAGTGACCTAAGCCGCCCAACCATTTCAAATTACATTAACTGAATGTGCCTACTAAGCATGTGAGTAGATCCACCTCCATTCAGACAGGGTTGTCTCTAGGGAGAGCGTATCCCCTAGAGTCAGCCAGTGGTGGAAGAGATACAGCCAGTTAAAAACAACATTTCTCATCCATAAAAAACATTATTTAACTGTTTGAATCGGATCAAACGTAGGTTGCATGGGAGAAGCTCCACTGAGCGAACTTTGCCCCTGTAGAAATCTTATTTGAGCCGTTCCTTACATGCTAAATGTTTGATCAGAGCAGCCACATACCATAACTAATTCCATTTTCCATAGCACAAGTGATGGAGATGTGTATTAGTCCCAGCTAAACTGAGATAAACAAGTCCTGTAAATGGAGAATGCACTGCCACTGGATAAAAAAAGGAGAAAAATTATGTATTCGTCTTTTGGTCATGTTGCATACTTGTTCACATGCCCTAAAAACAGCCTAATCTCTAAGGTCTTTTTTGACCTGACTGGAATACATTAGCCTAGCTGACCAGAGAGTTAATGTACTGTTCTGACCGACACGCCCAACATGAGGTTATCGAACAGAGGCAGAGCCACCATTACAAAGAGACTAGACTATTTCTGGGTGACTGAAGCCTCCCTAAAACGGGCTCAATAACGCCCCCCGATTCAGGAGAGAATTATGTTCTACTCCTATTCACCGCATTGTGGATTCATTCCATGCATGTCCCGATGGTAGTTTGAAGAGAACGGTATGTGCAAACCTACTGGGAACCTTTGGAAGCCCAGCCTTTGACCACGCAGGCTTTCAGTAATGCTCAGGCATTCCGCTCAATTTGGGTCTGACTGAGGACAGAGCCTCGCTTCATGTCGGTAACAACCTCACTACAGAGATCCGGATCTGAGTGTAATAAAAAAGAAAAGAAAAAAAAGAAGTAAATTTTTAAAAAAAATCTAATTGCGAAGGTGCTATCTGGAGCTGTGCTGCCTCCATGTCTTACACAACTCGCTGACCCGCTTATGAGCTCAGTTTAATTTCAGCGTCTCTCGGGAGGGAGACTTTGTTTATGTACTTGGTACAATGTGAGTACACTTTTTCTAGGGTCTGGAGCTCTGCAGTTACTCGGGCCTGAGAAAGGCAGTACGCATCCAACCCACGATCCATTTGGAACCTCGTTAATGTTTCACATGGCATAACTGCACAATGGTATTGAATTATTTCATAATTGAACAGGATCCCTGTAGTCATTTGTCGCAACATCTGACTTTGAAAACAAGAGTAAAACGTGTTAAATTTTAACCACTAAGTATTCCGAGCCTTATCATTCTACCTGGCGGCTGATATAAATCGGATTTAGAGTTTTCTGTATCAGCATATATGTGTATGTTAGAATGCCAGGGATGCACACCGCTGGGACTTACATCCATTTGGCCTTAGGTCTGTCTGTGGAAGTCCAGAGGAGAATGGAGCATTAGCAGGAAAGGAAGGGAGGGGGATACATAGATGTGACTCCACTCCATCCATCCCCCCCGGCTTGAGTGGGCGAGGCATGACGACCAGAATGGGAATCAATACGGAACCAGGATGGGATGCATCCAGTTTACCTTTTCATTATAGAGTGAAGGCCCAATGCATACAATGTAATCTGAACATTATTTTGCGCCAATCTCAATTTTAAAAAAAGTAGTGTAAAAGATAACACATCTCTGTGTAGCGAACCCTCTTCTTGGGAATTGAGGAGACCAGTTGCTGGACCTCTGAGAGAGCAACGTTGTCACATTCTTGCCATTGTAGTTGCTCAGCAGTCCTTGGTTGTGTCTGTAAATGTTCACATTTTATGACAGACAAAATGTTATTCAACTAGTGACAGGTCTTCTCTCTTCCACTACGAAGCCATGCTGTTGTATTTAACACCAAATGGAGTTTAGCATTGTCTTACTGAAATATGCAACACCCCTCATTGAAAAAAACATGGCAGTTCCAGCTAAAAGATGTAGGATCTGGGATTTGTAAAAGATAATACAAATTTCCCACTCTTCCTCAGTACATTTTCAATGAGTTTTGGCCAAGATCTTTGACTTATTTTTTGTAACTCCAAAAGACCCTGTCTCTCTAAGGTTCTCTTTTTAGACTCTTTTTAGACTTATTTATAGTAGTATTTGTTTAGATTTTTTCTGCTTCTGTTCCTTTTTCTATGTAGTGCTTGCATTCAATTTAAGTCCCTTTTAGAGTTTTTTTTCCATGTTTGAATGCCTCACTCATGTTATTGTCACTTTTATCATTTGATATGTTTTCTATTTTCAAGTGTCAATACAATATGTCTTTATCAGACTTATTTCTGTATATTTCTTTGTGAGGTGGGTTCGTACGCCTTAACTCTAAACTTTACTGTCTCAGGCAAGATAGAGCATGTTTTGTCAAGCTGTGGCTGTGTGTACGAGTGTGTGTGTCCATACCACCCACCCCCCCCACCCCAATCCCCCTTTCCCAGCATTCCTCTTTTCATCAGTCACTTCCTCTCTCAATCTCACATCCTCATCAGGCACACAGGAAAACACTTAGAGCTTTTTTAAAAGGGATGTAATTAGCCGTGCAGACATATACACACCTGCTAAACTAAAAACAGTCTTCTTTTTTTTTTGGGGAGAGCGAGGAGCAGCAAGATATTACATTGCATAATCATTCTCTGAATCTACTCATCAACATAAAGCTATGAAAAAGCAGCCCGAGGCTCGGCTGCTTTTTATGCCTACGTCCCGCACACGTTTACACGCATGCTCTTAAGTGTTCCCCATTTGTGCATCCATGACGCTCTGGCAAACAAATAAACACACACGCAAGGGCTCTGTGCTCTCAGGAACTCTCAATGTATTTTGCTTGATCTTATATTCTATAACAGACACACACACACACACACACACACACACACAAACAGAGATCGGATGATGTTTAAAGCTGAGGAGTTTCTTTCTCAGGGTTTCTCTGGGCGTTGACCCGACGTCCACTCACAGAAGTGATTGACAGCCCGCTGTTCCGGCTTCCTTTTCAGACATTGGCCCACTTCGGCCCCCGGGGGGGCTGGTCCTCCGGACGGCCACACGCTGGAAGTCTATTGGCAGAGGAAGCGCTTGTGGGCGTGATTCTGAGTGTGTTGTAAATTGTTTTGTGTCTGGGATTTGTCCCTCGTCTTCCCAGAGCAAAAGAGAGGAGGCGAGCAGCTTGCGTCTGCGATGGCCATATTTAGGCAAGACTTTCACGGCTTTTCCCAGGCATCACACTGGGCCATTGCTCTCTTTTTCTAATCTGTCTCGGCGCATCTGCGTGTCAACATCTCTGGATGCAGATGTGTTCATACAAGTTTATGAGGGCTTTGCTGTTTATATTTTGGCCATGAAGCTGCTGTGCTCACAGTTAATCTCTGTTACTTTCGCAGGTCAATGTGTGGATGAATTCCACCTTTTTCTTTTCCTGTCGTAACTGTCTTTGTTTTGCCTTTGCTCCTTTCACTCATCACCTTCACTTCACCACTACACATTATCCCTTCTCCTCTTCATCCTGTCCTGCCCTCCTTCCGCTGAAACCTCTCACCTGTTCCCCCTCCCGCTGCAGGGGAGCTGTTCATGGCGGACGGTCGGCTCAAGGAGGCCCAGTTCTGCATAGCGGAGGCCAGCTCGCTCTTCCCCAACTCGCACTCGGTGCTGCTGCAGCGGGGCCGCCTGGCCGAGCTCCGGGGCCAGCTGGACGAGGCCAAAGGCCTGTACGACGAGGCTCTGGCCATCCACCCCACAGGAGAGCGCATACTGGTGCACATGGTGAGAGACAGTGGAAGCTTCACAGGCTGTAAAATTGAATTAAAACTTACATAACACTCCGCTCTGTTCGGTGTCACACACGCAAAACAGCAGTGCGCGTCTGCACACAGATACACAACCCCCACCCCCCCCCCCCCCCCCCCCCTTACACACACACACACACACACACACGACATGCATGGATACACTAATACATTAAGTGCTTTATTTGAGTCTATTAAATTAGAACTGACGTAGCAGGCGGGTTAAGCATGTGCACACACTCATACACATTTCTAATACTTTACTTGAGTTCACGAAATTACATTAGATTGTTTGTTATGCAAGATTTTCAGAATTAAGTCGGACATGCCGTTATCTCTTAAACACACAACGCTGAAGATAAGCCCGAACTCATTACTTTTTCATATGTCACAGATATGTACATTGTCTGATATACATGTGTAAAGAAAACACATGATTATTTAGTTAAATAAGTATTACTTAATCATCAGATTGAGTTAATATGCCAGACACACACACACACACAC